TTTGCCTCAGTTGTGAAAAAGATGTGTCACTTGTCTGGAGCTGACAGTGGCAGTGTCCCCTCTGTAAAGCTGAGGCAGGAGGGAGGACTGTGCACAGCTCTACCCTGAAAATGTGTTCATGGTGGAAGTGCTGGAAGTCTGGAGGAGATAAGTCTTCTAAATAATGATGGTTTTATGGATGAGGTCATGCTCTCCTCTCACCAAGGAAGGAGATGGAAAGAACTGGAGTGGAAAGAGTTGGCAAGGTCAGTCTGTCTTGTTGTCACAAGAGTGGCAGGAAGGAGACCTCCAAACAAACCAGAGCCCCGGGAGTGAGGCAATCACCGTTTCTTCCTGCTCACATCAAATTCCTGTTCCAGGCATTTCCAAATAAGGGTGAGGAGCTGAGCGCCGCCACCGCAAGATGACAGTGCAAGGCTGTTAAAACCAACACTCCTTTTGCCTTCTTTTTAAAATAATCCATGAATCAAAGTGCCTCTGTAACCTGCCACGCTCCAAAATAGACTGACAGGAACATACACAAATCCTCCTGGAAAAATAAATGACGAGAAAAGCTTTAGCTGGCAATTCCGGGGTAAGAACGATTGGCAAGTTGCACCATTTGACTCAACATGATTTTAATCATGGGCTGCTTGTTCATCTCAAGGGAAAAGATGTCACCATGTGTCTCGTGTGCAAGCACAAGGCACACAAAAATCACATGGCAGAAGTAGTTTTTGTATAATGGTAACAGTAGAAACAAACAAGAAAAGAGAACAAGGGGGTGAATTTCCTGGCTAAAATGAGTTAATCTGAGATCAGTGGAGCTTTACTAATCTGCACCAGCAAAACATCTGCTTTGCCACCCCTACCCTCAACACCCTCCCCTTTAGCTTCCCAGTGTTAGCAGTGATGAGCTGTGGAATGGACCAAACCACTGTGCTGCTGAGGGCAAGGAGGAAAGGGCAATTTTAGCCTGTCAGATTAGGGCAGTGCTGTCAGGGCAGGAGCAGCTCAGAGTCTGCCAGTACTTGAGCCCACTTATGCTTTGTAGACACTTCTAAATATTCGGGAAGTCTTCAAGTGGTGTTTTGTTTTCAAAAGCTATCTGGTGGCCTGAATGTCCCTACCCAACAATTAAACCAATAAATTCAGAGGCCAGTCTTTAAAAGTTCAGAGCTGCAGATGCTGCCACTGGTGCATTATTCATGGGTTTGGTTTTTCCCTTTGATATCTCTCTATGGTGTGATCTGTATAGCAGAGAAGAGCCCACATCTGTCTGTTTACACCACCCTGGAAATTCCTGTGGGCAACCAAAAAAGTCGACCACAAATAACTGCTGGGCTACCAACAAACATAGTATCTGGAGCGCCTCCACCCACCTGCCATTGGGCAGATTCCTAAATCGCATTGGAAAGGGGAAAAATCAGATCAGGGCGGGAGGGAGAAGTAGAGAGAGGGATGGGGGGAAGGACTAGTTTGAAAGACTAACCTGAAATTAGCAGAACTGCTATAGGATTGATTTTATTTTTTTTTTAAAGTAGAGTAAGTCACATGTGAGCCCTGAGCTGAGCGTCACATCATGGCACGTGGCTCTTTGTGGGATTGGGGCTGAACCCTTTAGAGTGGACAGGTTCTTCTGAGCTGTGTCTTGTTGAAAGGTGGACAGGAAACATCCTTTAAACCATCTGGAAAATTCATGAACAATTCTCCAGTGGGATACTGGAAGAGGCTGTAAATTCTGAGTTTGCCCAAGCCAGTGGGGCCTCTGGTCGTTCTTGCTTTAACTGCAGGATCTCTTTATGTTACTGTGGGTCTAGGAGAGAGTTACAATTTCCATTGGTTTGGAAAGCTTCTCAGTGCTTCCAGTGATGAATTCCTAACCTAGACCTTCACTCACACAGGTATTACTTCTCATATCCATATACCTGAACTAAAGGGCTTGGGTAACATTCTCATAATCAATGGAAGTGGTTATGGGCTTAAAAGCAGGCACCCACCAAGCTGGATCTCATCCTGTGGCCCTTGCATCCTTGAGAGGTATGGGAATTATTCTGGTTTATTAAGCTATAATATATAGCTATACTGCTTGATTTGCAATGTTCAGTGAGCTTTGGCTGTTACTTGCCTCACACTAGTATTCAATCACTGGATGTTTCACTTTAACTTAATACATGATTAAAGAAATAAAGCCAAGGTGCAGATGGTACAAAGATTTCATTGCCCATTGATATTTTTTTAGTCAGGTGTTGCATCTACTTTTGAGCCTTTAATTCTTGGTGAGGTAATTTCTTCCTGGTGCAGATCATCTCATGTGCTGGACTGTACCACGCCGATGTTGACTTGTCCACTTGGAAGTCTGTTGCTCTTATAGCTTTTATTTCCTGAATCTGGGGAACTGTTTTCCCCCTTTTAGTTGTGTTCAATTTTCTGAGAAATACTTTTTTTTTTTTTAATAATTTTGAAAAGTAGCGTGTCCTGATCATTTTCTATGAGGAGACATTGACACTTTTTTTAATGTAAAGTTTTTTATTCGTCTTTCTCTTAAACCAGAAACTTGGAAATTTGATTTTTTTTTGGTTTTTTTTAGTTTTTAACTACTAAACCCTTTATTCAGCCGGCTGAAAGTGTAACAAGTTTTTGCGTTTGGGTGCCTTTTTTGCTGTTCCCGACTCTCTCCCTTGTCCTGTTGCGGAAGGTGGCCGCAATTCCTCCGTTCCGTGCAAATGCGAGGTGGTGCTGGGGTCTCTGGCAGGTTCCCAGTGCAGGTCTCAGCTGACTTGAGTCCCTGCCGTGGGTCCCTGGGCCCGCAGTTGAGCAATGGCATTCTCTGGTGGCAGTCACCTGTGCAGAGAGCAAACGGAGCGAGCGCCCGCTGCTCTCCTGCGCCCTGAACGCACGGCTGGGCTCGCTGTGTCAACAACCCCTCACGGCCCCGGAGACACTAATGCCAACAGGATTCTCAAACTGCAATGACTAATAAACCACTTGCTTTATTACTTGTTTCTACCTTGAGTGGCGAGATTAAATTGAATTTAAAAGACTAGCATAGAGGAGAAGGCACGCAGGTAAGCATAGAGTGATTGTTTATGTGTTCATTGTAAATGTGTTCATTTTGAGGCTGGGGGCTGGAAAGGGAGACCAGCAGAGGACAGTGAATTGCATTTAGATCTTTTTTTTTTGCACTGACTAAGGGAAGGTTGCTCATGAAGATAACTTTCTCATCAGTAACTTTTGCCAGCCTGTGAGCTACATTACTGATCCTTCTCAGATCTGTGCCCAAGCAGAGTGTTTATGCAACGAGATGTCAAGTAACACTTTCCTGAAAACTGGGAGATCTTTGACTATGCAGCGTACAGTGAAGTCAGTAGTGTAGTGAGTCTTTTTTTTATTTTTTTTCTCCCTCTTCAAAACACATGGATAAATGTTTTGTGAAGCTCTGAAAGCTCCCTGTCACTCCAGGCCCTTGTAAATAGAGACTGTCTTTCTCACAGCTCCCTTCAGGCCCTGGAAGGCCACAGTTCAGTCACCCCAAAGCTTCTCTTTCCAGGCTGAACAGTCCCAACTCTCCCAGCCTTTCCTTCCAGCAGAGCTGCTCCATCCCTCTGATCATCTTGGTGCCTCCTCTGGACTCTCTCCCGCAGCTCCATGTCCTTCCTGTGCTGTTCCCCAGGGCTGGAGCAGCTCTGCAGGGGGGTCTCACCTGAGGGGCAGAGGGGCAGAATCACCTCCCTCCCCTCCTGCCCACGCTGGGGGATCAGCCCAGCGCATGGGATGTTTCTGGGATGGGGCATGTCCAGCCTGTCACCCACCAGCACCCCAAAGTCCTTCTCAGGGCTGCTTTGGATGACACTGTCCTGAGATAAATTTAATGGCCAGCGGGTGGGTTGGGACCTCTGAGAGGGAGAAGCCCCCCATTCCTGCCTGGATCCCCCAAGGGTGGAGGTGGCAGCAGGGGCTGCTGGGAACAGAGCACAGATCCCAGTGTGCTTTTCAGGGTTTCCCAGTATTATTCAGTGTGGATGAATGACCACCCTTTGCTTTGCCATCAGGGAATATTTATGACCGTCGGAGCAGGGCTGGGTTCCTGGAGACGGGATAACACGTGGCTTTGTGCTGCCAGACAGAGAGTTCCTTTCGGTGGTCACACCAATGTTTTTTCATACTCCCACGGACACCACAACTTTTTTGGATAAGGAAGAAGATGATGGAACACAGATGAGGGAAAGAAATGGCCTCAGAGAACTTGGATACGTGGGGGTATTTTTACCCTTTGGGGTTTTTTCTTCCTGAATTTCAATGAGTGACTTATTGGAAACTTACTTGGGTTTGAAGTGCTTTTTTTTTTCTTATTCCACACACACAAAACTGTTTTGGGTTGTTTTGTTTGTCTTCATTTATAATGCAGCTGAGATAGGGTGACTTGATATTTTTAAAATAGAAAACTGATGCCTTCTGAGGGAATGGGGGGAAGAGAGGAGGATTTTACTAGCTGGAAACATGGGTCATGCCAAGGACAGCTTGTTGCTGTGAAGGGTGTGCTGGAGATGGGGGGGGGGAGGATTATGTGAAGCTGGTATGGAGGGAAGAGCAGTGCTCCTTCTCCTTGTGTGCCAAATCCACTGATAGTTCTCTTCCTCCACCATATCTCCTTTTATTTATTACCCTTATTTTTCCCTCTTTCTTTTAAGACAAATTCTAGATTAAAGTTTTCCAACCCACAACATCAGCGACTATCAGGCAGATGCCAAGCAGATGCCCTCTGTTTCACTCACTGCTGTCATTCCATAAAAATAAACCTAAAAGAGAAAAATATCCTGTCTTGTCGGTGAGGTAACAAAGTGAATGGGATTATAAATTCCATGTTGTGAATTGCTAAGCTGGAGAACCCTCACAGAAAATGCTCAGCATCTCGTTTGGATCAGTACTGGCACCTGTGAGGCACTGGGAGCTTAGGAGCATCTTCTGGAGCCTGCTACAGGCTGGAGGCTGCCCAGCACACCCTGCAGGAACAACAAGTTGTCAGACAAAGAAGTTGTCAGTGAGTTGTCCAGCGTGTTGTGGAGCTGGAGGACAATTTGCCAATGACTGAGCGTCTTCCAGGGATTCCCTATCCAATGGTCAGGGTGAGTCTCCACACGAGGTCTGTTGTTTCCTCCTTGTACCTGTTGGGAAAAGCACGGTCCTGTTTTCTGTGTTGTGCAATTCAGGTCATGAACAGCATGAGTAAGGTATTCCTGTCAAAACCATCACCCTTGGGAGGACGTCACAGTTGGAAAGGAATATTTCCTCAGCATTTCTGTGTCTGTAATAAAAAGGATGTGCAAATGCTAATATTGACAAGAGATCTCTGTAGAGTCTCTTCGATGGTAATGCTCTTTTCCTTCTCTGCTGTCATGGCCATTCCACAGCTCCCTGAGTTTTCTATGGGAACTATTCCAACTGGAGACAGGGAATAGAAATTAATGAAATAAATTCTGTTCTAAGATTACTGAATAACACATTTCCACTGGTGCTGGTGGGGTTCAAACACGAATTTTTGCTGGCTCCTGCTGGGGGACTGAGAGAGAGGGAGAAGGTGGCATTGGTTTTACATATCCATTATCACCTGATTTTGATTTTGTTGTTCCAAAAAAAGTTGAGATTTCACATCTTTTGAGAAGTTTAGCAAAGGTACACTTGGTGCACAGGCACTTCAAACATCAGCAGATGCTGGGAGCGCCAGGAAATAATGTTGGACAGGGCACTATTACAGTCATTCTTTCTACCACTTCCTCTCAAGCTGATGTAAACAGTCCTTTCCCTTGGGAAAGGGAGAACGCTGAGCTCCAGTGATCAATATGTGGTTTTGCTGTGGTTACTCGGGAAACTTCATCCCTGAAATCTTTTTTAATCACAGGTTTTCTGGCATCATTTGACAGGATCCAGCTTTTCATTTCTGATCTACTGTAAGTTATGGAATCTGGCAAATAGGAACAAATCTGGATGAGCTGGTTTATGGAACAATAAACACAGGTATGTGTGTTTGTGAAAATTAAGAAATTTTTAAAAGGTAAATAATGACTGTTTTTAAAATAGTGATTAATTTTAGATTTTTAGATGTGCTATAGACTTCCGTATTCATTTATTGCTCTATACAAACATTTTTCATGTTTTCTTTTTTCCCCTCAGCATTTTTAGAAAACCATGTTTCCTAATGGTGTTGAGAGCAATTTTAATGGTGAGTGCAAACACTGTATACAGGTACAAAATAATAACACCAGTTGGAAGGCGCAATAGCCCTGTGGTTCCCACAATGGATAGAAATCAGGAGTTCTTCAATCAGTTTTTGGCTTTGCCACAGGCTTCCTGTATTACTTTTCAGGCAGTCACTTAATCTTTGCATCCAGCATCTGTGAAACAGCCAGGCTTGGAACAGTTAGTCTTTGGAAGCGTGTGTCTAATTCAGCTGTTATTATGAAAGTTAAATATTAAGGAACTGTTACGTTATCATAGGATAAAACCACACCACATCTATTTTCACTGTGAGCTTTGTTCTTTTGCTGTTACATCGTTTTTCAGGAAAAACAACTCTTTCACTGCATAAAAATAAGTTAAGCAGAAACTCACAATGCGTGACATGAGAGCTGTATTTGTGGAGTTCATGTCTGACACTAAAATAAGAGGCTCATGTTAAATGCCCCTGGGAAGACTTCAGAGCTGATTGTTCAATAAAATGAAGCACGGGTCTGGGCATTGAAAAGAAACAAAAAAAAGACTTTGTAGAGATCAGCTCCCCAAAGCTGTTTGGAGAGTTCCATAGCCTGTGTCTAACTCCTCATGCCCTTGTTGACAGGGATGCTGCTCTGAGCCCGTTGTTCAAACTTCCACCAATATTCTGTGTCAGAGAAGGAAATAACTTAGATAAGATCAATTTTCAAACGTGTTTCTTCAGGAAGGAACTGAAGAGCACTCCTGAAAACTACCTCCTGGAGTGTAAAAATTCCCATCTTCAGGAAAGTGAAGGAACTGCTGTGTGCGATGAAAAATGTCAATATATTTGGAGGACAGGTGAGTTTGTTTGCCAGACTTGACTCATTTGCAAACTCCAAGTGTGTCTTTATCTGTGCACAGTCAGTTTGTGAGGAGGTGCTCCCAGCTGTAGGAAGCACTGGTGAATGTCCCCGTGATTGACATTCCTCACGCGGTGGGACACGGGAGCTCCCTGTGACACCTGGCAATCTGTCTGTGTGGGGGGGAGGATGACAGAAATTTCTGAAAAGGGAGGGTTTAACTCTGTTTGTCAGTGTTCATTGATGCTGTGGGAAGTGGTAATTAGCTGAAGTGTGGAGGGGTACATCTCCCCTGGGGTTGCTCTGCAGCACAGTCCCACACGCCTGAAGGAGCAGTGATGCCATGGGGCCATACACGTGCCCTTCAAAACCAGCAGTTCCCTGAACCCACTCTGTGAGTGTCCTTGTTCTAACTGGGGAGAAATTTCACACATAAAGGCAGCTTCTGAGGGGTGGAACCCTGAGAGCCACGTCTCACCCCTCCCCAGCCCTCAGAAAGCAGCACGAGTGTAATAATGACCCACAGGCTTTTACAGAATTCCAAATACTTCACCTGTGTTGTGTCTACTTTGTCACGTGCACTGATGTGTCATCCCTGAAATATCCTGCCTCAGCTATGTCAGCTTGCACTCTGGAATTTTCTGGGGTGAAATACTTGTTAGGAAAAGGCACCTTTTTTTCTGTACTGAGTATTTAATATGCTCCACAGACTATTTCAGACTGGTGGTGAACAACTCCAGAGTAATGCTTTGGTGAACTTCTGCTCCAAGACCTATAAGGTAGGACTCTTTCCAAGAACTCCAGGAGCAGTTTGTCTTGTGCAGGAACCTCACAGATGAGTGGCAGAAGTCACTGCTTGGAAGGACCAACTGGACTTTCTATGGGAGTAGTGTAATACACTGTGGAAGTGCATGTTATAATGGACCATGTGTGACCTAAAAGATCCTTTCTACCCATTTTCTGTGATGCGTGTACTGAACCATAAATACCCCATGACACTAAATCCACACTGCCAGGCAAAAGGCTACATTTTAAATTGCTTATTTGATGATCAAACAATTTCTGTGCCTGATAGTGTCTCTGACAGTGAAAGGCAACAGAATAACTTAATTAAAAAGCTAAAGCAAAGCACTAATAATACATGTTATCTCACCAAAACCACAGTCGTCTCCCCTGCAGCTGTAGGATTTGCCAAAAAAATAAAAAACCGTAGAATAATGGATTAGAAATGCTTTCCAGCCTTCCAGCTTTAGGCAATACATTACCAAAATATGATTCTTAATAGGAATATTGTGAGGAGCATCATCATTTAGGAACCTTGCCAGCAGGCACTGGATTAATCTTTTTTTTGTTGTTATCATTGCAGGCTGGCAGTACTTCTCTCCAGATGTACCATTTGGCACATTAAACAGTTCTTTTCTTAGAAGGGAAACCTATGGTTTTGCCATGTAATGCAAAACACCAATGGAATCACTACATAAGCAAAATGCCAGTAATGGTACAGTGGTCCAGCCACAAACACTGGTATGTTAATTTTGTTTTATTTTTCCCAGTGTGTCATCTGTAGTGCTGTATTTTGTACCAGGACTATGGCTGGGCAGTTCAGTATCAGATTTTAAAGTGTGTTTTCAGTGAGAGGTTTAAACTGGGAAACTAATGGTTGGGGGTTTTTTCCTACTTAATATGAATCTAACTATCATTTTAGACTGATTTCAGAGACGAGGCCAAATTCCCCCCTCAATTATAGCTGTTCTACCTTTCAGCTGTATGCATGCACTTTTGGTAATGCTATTCAAATACACTGGCAAGCAAGTGGGCTGTGGCTTATACTTGCCATTGCTTCCTAAAATTAACTAGACCTTCAATTAAAATTCTGATTTATTAGTAAGAAGGTTAATATAATTATAGCATATTTGGTTTGTATATGGAAGGCAGTGACTGGCCTCCTGTGCTGTCTTAGTTCTCTCATGGATCATCACCAGTCCTTGCAGAGGCAGCTGTAGCAGCTCTTATGTGGCATTTGTTGTATTCCAAATTACTTTCTGAATTTGTTCTATCCTACTGACATTGTATGGAAAGGAAAAAAGTTGCAAAACTACTTGTTTTCAGTTCCTCTGTGTTTCTGGCAGCAGCAGAAGTTGGGAGGGTTTACATATGGAGGGGTTTTCTCTGTGTCCCTCTGGGTTTGCATGCCAAAGCAGAACAGGAGTTGTTCCTTTTTACACTTGACTTTTCTAGATGAGGATGGGGTTTAACCTACCATTTCTTGTGTAGACCTTGTTCAGGGCAGCCAAGGTGTTTGGCCTAAGCTGGCTCGCTTTTAGACACTTCTTTTCTGAGCTGGGTTCTGTTTTCTCACCCCTCCTACCTCAAGGTATCACAGAGCACGTTCCTCTTTCCTGCCCCTGTCGCCCTGCTGTAGCAGTTGTGATGCCATGAGCCTTGTTTCTGGTTTAGAAGGCAATTGTGGCCCTGCTCTCTCATCAACCAACCCAAACCACAGTGGGTGATAGGCTGCATTCCAAGGAGTGAGTGCATGCCCTGCACTCCTCGAGGCAGTCCTGCTTCTTGCCACGTTAGATCTGAGGGCTGGTCATTGGGCAGCATCTCCAGATGATCAGTTAGAGGGTCAGGATGGTAAGAAACGCTTTTTCACCTTGCACAAATGGTGACATTACTGTGATTTGCTTGCCTGGTGAAGGACAGCAAAGAAGGAAGGACATGCCTCACTTCACTGTGCCACTATACACTGACTATTGATGTGTGTTACAGAGTTTGTTCCCACTGGCAGGCCTGCCCTTTCCCATCTGAAGGTTTTTGAAGGATATCTGCACTTCATGTGTAACATTTCATTTCCCATTCCCTGTATGGAAAGATGCAGCACTTCCTATGGGATGAAGAGCAGGAGAACTGCCTTCCTCCTGGCTTTGGGGCCAAGGGAGAAAAAGGAGGTTGGCTGGGCAAGGAACACATTTTCTCACCTTGGGGAGAGAGGTGTGACACCCTGCCCAGCCCGGCTGCCCAGCCCCACTCCTGGCTTGGGTCCCCTGGGATTTTTCTGTTTGTTGTAACAAATAGCCTGTAATTCAAGCTCTCTGTAGGTGGGGTCAGACTCTGCTCCATAGTTTCGGTAGATAGCAGGTTTCTTTCTACTTAATATGACAGGTGTTTAGTTTTTAACTGACTCCTGCCATTCACCAGAAGTCTCACCTTTCTTCCTCCCAAGTTAAACATGTCAGTTCTGGCTTTTACCTGTCCACACAGTGAGAAAATGACAATTTCTGATTACCCTCTCCCCTCTAAAAAGCAGTGGAAGATCAATAGTTTAAAAAAAATAAAAAAAAGGTGATTTCTCTCCAAGATTCTGCCTAAATTGGATGGTGTGGCCTTTCCAGTTTGATTAACTCAGTAATTAAAAATGACCAGGTGAGGCAGGTCAGTCACTTTATTCTGGTTTGGTTTCCTCTGTCCCATGAAAGCTAGGAAATAATGCAAGGAAAGCACTTAGTTGTGAGAACACTTTCCCTCTCCTGTTGGTTCAGTTCCTAAAATCTAATCATGTTTTAAATCCCCAAGAAGAGGAACAAGCAAAGTATCATTATTTCCCTTCTGGAGGATTTCTGCAAGGAAGCTGATCCTCACTCCCAATCCACCCCAGAGTAAAAAGGACAGTGCTAATTCTGTTTTCCTTTTTCTGTTCTAATTATGTCTTTTCTCTTTGAAGCAGAAGAGCTGGGGCAGAACATGGTTGTGACTGTTTGCAGCTGCCCTTGGAGCTGGAGTGGAGGGAGTCACCATGTGCTGGTGGAGCATCATTGCAAAGGGATGTGCAAGGTAAACTGCTTTTAAAGAGTTACTAGCTGGGCCTTTCAAATCATGTTCAGGGTTCTCTCACTCCCATTTGTGTTGCAGAAAGTGATCCCCTCCTATCTGGGGTGTGGGGTCTGAGATTGCTGTGGGACTCTTTCTTCTGTGAGGCAAATCTGTGAAATGCAGTGAAAGTGTGAAGAGGGGTGTGAATGTGGCTCACAGCCCTGGCACTGCTTTACTCACCAGGCTGCTATGAGCAAGTGTCCACCAAAGAAAGGTGGGTTGGGTAATCAGCCTGTGTAAGATGGCACACCAGCTACTCTGCATGTTTACTGTATTTTTCATAAGACTTGGGTAACTGAACTTCACATATTCTCCATTCCAAAGCTCATTCCATTTCTTAGTACTTTTCAGCTAGAGGTGAATTTTCTCACCTGGCTGTCATCCAAATTGCATGCTGAAGGCATTTTTGAGGAAACTTGAAGTTTTAGAGTGTTAGTAAAGTGTTGCCTGCTAAAATAAAGCCAGATTGGTTCAACATGAATGTTAAAGACTATGTAAATAGTAAAGGCTGAAATGTCAAAACAAATATAGATAATTTAAAAATATCACTCTGTGGTCAAGGTATGTTGGTGACATTTCAAGAGCTACTTTGTTATTTTTCTATTAAAAATTATGCACTGCCATATGCTGAATATGTCAAGCTTCCCTGTTACTGCTGCTCTTTGTGTGTCAGAGGATTCTTCTGTAGTCATACAAAATCACATATTATGTCCTTGTCCTTCAAGATCTTCCTTGAGCCTGCACCTCAGGAATGCCTACAAAGAGTTTTGTGTGCAGCTTGTTGCAGGTACCTCTGCAAGGCTGTTCTCCTTTGTCCCTGTGTCCCTTTTGGCTTTTTACCTGTCTGCCTGAATCTCTGTCTTCTCTCTTGACCTCTTTATGTGGAAGTTCTCTGAGGCAAGAACCAAACTGACTTTCTAGGTGCATACAGCACCTCAGTCCTTGCCCATAACGAGTGCTGACTCTCTATACATCCTACAGCAGATGGGATTTCCTGGGAAGAGTGAGTCCTTTCCTTAGGAGAGGAGTTAGGTTGGTCTTTTATAAGGTTTGTCTTCTAGCTTAGTTATTTATTTGGTATGCTGTTAGAGCTTTGGCATCAAACAGGGCCCCCTTTACAAGAGAAGGTGAGCTCATTGGTGGGACACACTGCAGGCTTTCCCCTTTACCTCACACCCTCCCACATGCATTTGTCCAAAACCCTCCAGGCTGTTGGCACCATGTGCAAAATGGGAATGTTGGTGCTTTGTCCTCCTGAGTTCTTTGGGATCAGGAGAGACTTGCACAAAGATGGAAAGGAGAATGATTCTGGTGCTGATTCCTGACCCACCAAGATCCACTGGGTACATGAAGATGTACTGGGAAAGAAACTGGGTTTCAATGACACCAAGACAACCCTGACCACTTTTTTCAAGATGTGAAATTCAACTTCACACCAGTTTTAATTCACTTTCATACTGTTGGGCTCCACTTTAATGTCAAAAGCAACCCTCGAGAGAGGTTGGATTTGATGTAAAGAACAGCATTATGTCATCAGAAAGGAAAGTGCTGCTTAACCACTAATATATTTAAAATCTTTTTCTGAGTAGGTTTGTTGCTAATTATACTGCATAAATTTAAGAGTGGAAATTTGGTTTCTCCATCCTCATGGCTTGCATGTCTAATATTTCTCACTGGGCTTTGGAGTGCAGCCTAAGTGCAGCTCTCCCTGGAAATTTCTTTTTAATCTAATCCCATTCTCTAGTTAAACATTTCAAATGAAATATACTGGGGAAGAAAAAGAGGACTACTTTGTTTGAAGTGCTCTATAGGCAGAAGATTGCCTGAGGACTTCCTTATGGACTGTTCCTTATCTTGCTGTGTATCCAGTAACAGATGGAGTTGGAGTGTAGGTACCTCAAGCTCTGTTTGATTTTCTTTTTTTCCTTTTTTTTTTTTTTTCATCTCCAACTACATGGATTAGAGCTATAAAGATGTTGGTCTAAGTCATAAGAGTTTTGGAGACCGGAAATACTTGATTTCAGTAGTTGAATTTAAAGTTATCTGAAGGTAAATATCTCTTATCTGGACGGTGTGTAAATTGTGTATTCATCTGATTTCCTTTCCTTACTGGATATCATTTTCCCTTGGTGAGTGGTTCGTTTGGCTTCCTAAGCAGAACTAGACAAACTCCTAAATCACTTCATGCTTTCAGTGAGCTGTGTCCCCTTTCTTTTCTATTTTCTTTAATCATTCTTTTCATGCTTCCGGAACAATTGAGCTGAAGGATTGCGAAACTCTTCGTATCCTGGTCTGTGTGCTTGTCCCAAACCTCATACCTTGAAACAGTGTGTTTGATATTCAGCTGCCATCACTGTGATATTGCATGCTTTGGGCTTTGGGATTTCTAACGTGACTGCAAACATTACCTTTCTAATGATACTTTGTGTTGGATTAAAGGGTGCAAACACTGTATTGTGAGTGCTGGAGTTATGTGCCCTTACCAGTCGGGGGACCTGTAACCTACTGCTGGAAATTCCAAGTCAGGTTTCCTAAAGATAATACCTTGCTGCAGTTCTCCACTAAATGGCTGCTGTCTGTTGCTAAATAGTTTGTGTAGATCCCAAAGCTGACTAAATTCCAATGACAACCTCAAGACAGTTTTCAAGAAGGGTGTGTGTGATGGATACTACACTTGTTGTATGGGTGTTCTTGCGAGTACCACGTGTGGATATTTGTTCTAATAGCCAGTCATTGTAGCAATAACTATCAGTAACATATTAGTTAATTCAGTGCTTTCCAGAGGATATTTCTGCTCTGAAAAATCGTTCTGAAAAAATGTCACCTTTCCTCCATACCATTATCGCTCCATAACACAGCATTATCAGCAAATACCTGATAACATATCCCTATATGCTTGCTGTTGTGAAAGAATTAATATTTATACTTTTATTGCTGCAAGCTTTGCCAGAGTGTGTCTCCGTTTGGGAATAAGTCTTGGCATTGTTAACTATTTTGCTACCGTGGGTGCAAATCCTGCCTTTGACATCCCCTTGTTCTACCTTATTGGAAACACACGGAGTTGAAGGCAGGGTCTGGCTCCCGGGATCTCTGTTCCCAGGGGTGCCAGGTAGGCAAAGTGAAAACCAGGGTGTCTCCAGCAGAGTCCAGGCTGACTTTGCTCAGCTTGGCCACTGTGAGTACTGTGTTGCTCAGCAAACTGGTGTGAGGAAGGATTGATGCACTAATGTTGCTGGGGTGACTGTGTGCTGTATGGTCATAGAATTAAAAATGTTTTTAAAAAAGTGTATTCTCCCAGAAGCACTAATTGGATCTTCTTGCAGTCCCTACCTGATCTCTGCATGTGCAAACCTGCCAGTTCTGCACTTATCCCAGGAAACGCTGCATGGAGACACTTGTTTCCACCCCTGTTCTTGAGGCCCTTTCAGAGCTATTAAATTAAGAGGCTGGCGTGTCCTCCTTTGAAATCCCAAATGGGGGATGGAAGAAGGAGGTGGAAGTTCGGTACCATCCTCATGCATCTCAAAGAATTTGAAAGCAAAAGGAATTCAGAGGGATTACAGCAGTGAAGGATCTAAGTGCAGTCTCAAAATCAGGTGAAACTACCACTGCTTTAAAGATCTCTCTTAAAACTCTGACTATGCTGATATGTTGGTTTAAAAGCCTGATTTTCCATGGCAGCCAAATGAAAAAACAGGGTCAATCCTCCAGTTCTGTGGCCTTTTGTGCTATTTTTTCTACATTATGTAAGGGATGGTCTCCAGTGCTGGATGGCCTTCCTGAATAGGAATATTGATACACTTCCCGTGAGGTTGAGAGAGTGATTCACTCTTTGGTGGCATTTGTGCAGTCTCCCCTGCCAAAGCCGTGCAGCTGCTTTGTATTTCATTTTGGGAATACTGCTTCCTTGAAACCAGTGTTCAGGAATCCAGTGTGTGTAACTTGGAGAGGGGGAGGGTGTCCTCAATTTCATTAAAATCATATCCAGGACTTTAGTGGAGGAAAAGGCTTGGAGAAAGGGAAGAAGCCAGGGTGCTAGTAATGAAAACATTAGACTCTTTGCAGAGCACCACTTTCCTTGCAAGGCAAACACCAAAAAGAGGAAGAAGCAATTCCTGGGTTTCTGATTTCTGTGGCCCTTTGAGCTGATTTGCAGCCGTGAGAAAGGTGCCAATATCTTTGTATTGTTTGGCAGGGAAAAGATTACCTTGTAACTCATCTTGTCTGGCTATGGCCTGGCACTGGATCATGACCAGGTTGATGGCAGCCTGACAGTTTTAAAAGAATATGTTGGCATTTTATGAAAAGGGAAGTTATTACACTTGAAAGGAAGTAAAAACAAAAACAGAAAACCTACGCTTGTCAGTTTTATGGCAGAGGCAGTAAAACTTCTGGCATGTTACTTCAGCCAATCCCTGCAACAAATTAGTGAACTAAATTGATTACAAAATCAAAGATGAATTTACATAAGCATTTGTGTTTTAGTTACCCTGCTCCTACAGTGTGTCAGACACTCAAAAGAGTCAACCCCATGCCCCTTACAGTTAAAATTAGTTTACAGCCTAAATTTAGATGTGTAGCAGCAAGAAGGGAGCATGGAAAGAAAAGAAGAGCATGGGAAGGGATGGGACCTCCTGGGTCACTGGCTCCAGTCTCTCCCAGTCTCAGGAAACCACATTGTCCTACCCTCTTTCAGGCTGTGTTATGGTCTTCTGACATACTGTTCTATGATACAAAAGATGGGGGTTAAATTTACAGATTTGTCCCAGCTCAGTAGAGTTTTTCTCTGTCTCCGTTAACTGTGGGATTGGACCCACGCTGAGGCTTATCACAAGTTCCTGCTGGTGGCTGTGTTTTACAGCCAGGAGATGTGCCAGCGAGCTGGGGACTGGGCAGGCAAAGGCAGCAGCCTTAGTGAGCAGAGCATGAGC